CAAAACCCCCTTGCTTTCCATTCCATGCAAAAAGGAATTGGGGGAAAAAAAATACTTCCACTCTTCTCTGAATGCATTTCCTTATGTTGCATTATAACTGTCTCTCTGGTTATATGTTAAAAAAAAAAAAAATCCCAGTGATGTCTCTCGGGGGGAGCTGAAAAAACGCCACGCTACCTTTCCCTTTGCAAGCTTTGAAGTCCAGGAACTGAACAGCATAGCAAAGCAGGAGTTCCTACATATGGGGTAACAGATCACCCCAAAGCTCCAGAGCGTCTCATCAGTACAGGAGGAGGAACACCACATCTGGTTCAGGAATAAATCAACTCTCAAACCCAGAAGACACATTACTAAGGACTAGAGCTGTTTCCAATTTTTGGCATGGTGTCCAGCCCTCCTTGAAGACCTGGCTGTTTCCTTGGCCATGGCGTCTGGAGATTAGGTGAGCCTATGGCTGTGATTTTGTGCTTTTCATGCTTTGAGGACGATTGTCCTCAGCCGAATTATTCCATTCATTATTTTTATTTTGTTTAGATTTCACCCTATGTGAGCCACCCAGGGTCACAGATGGACAGCTAAACAATTGTTATAATAAAGAAGATAATCCCAAGACTAAATGTATCAAGTGAAACTAGTAAGCCAATACTTCCTTAACTAAAAGGCCTCCTCTCTTTCCTGATATATTTCAATCCCTTGCCTTCAAATGTCATAGCTTCTGGACAGAACATCCATTTGAGAGATCTGCTTATCTTAGATAAGGGCTAGGGTAGATCTCACAGTATTACAGGATCTAGCCAATAGCTAGTCTCAGGTTTCTTATTAAAATACTTCTCTTATTTTTCTGATCTTTACCTTTGGAACTTGTTTAGAACTGAACCCACGGGAGAATTTCAGTGCTTGCCTAGAGAATATTCTATCAAACATTTTGCAGTTGTACCACTGGTAGAAGTCTTGGGGTGCATCACAGATCCATTTTTACTATTGTTTAATGATATAACCATCAGGGGAAAATAACCCCTTCCAATCCCTGTAACTTTATTCATTGCTTTCCCCTTCCATCATAATAAACCAATTTTACATTCCATATTGAGTCAAAAATATTCAGAATTCCCCCCCTTTTTTAATCCCCTGAGGACTTTCTTTTTTGAACCCATTGAAATGGACAAAGAATGCCATTTTCCCCTCTCCAAAGAATATTAGGAGAAATACCCAACTCCAATTTTGCTGTGTACAGAAAGTGTGAAAAATCATGGAAGGTGTTTTTGGTCATCCAGTCCAACCTTTTAAGATTTTGCAGAGAGTTCCAGAAATTCGTGGTCAAAGACATTATAGAAAATTAAATAGAGGTCCAGATCTAGCTATCTATTGAGTCGCAATGCAAGAACAAATATATATAAGAACATATATATAAGAACTTATATATATATAAGAACAAAATAAAATCAAGGTGGCACGTTCATGGTCATTAGGGCTAGTCAATATATTCATGGCTATTGCCCTGGTTTGGTAGATGATGACACCCATTGTCAGCCTTGTGAGGTAATTCAGACAATAAGCACACCCAGGTGTGTTCTATCTTTATTGTAAGGTTGCATTAACAGAATCTTGCAAGTCTGAAAGTACATCTGACGCCCCTCATCTTTACAGGCCAAAAAACTAGGGAGGCCGCACCCTCATTCCTTTTGTGGACTCAGCTGCCACTGGTCTGACAGTTGTCTAGTCTGCGGCTCTTCCTCCTGTCTCCCAAGGTCATTCCCACATAACATTATACCCACCTTGCTGGGAATCCTCATTAGGGGAGGAAATGGATTCCAGAGATACTCAGTGACATGACTAGGTCCTCAAATGGATGAACGATAAACCTCTGAGCATGCACAGAACAACATCTATTTACTAAAGAATCATTCTAGAATTCTGTGTGTGGATCAGTCTTAGTAGACTGGAAAACACCCTAGATGTGCCTCTTAAATCTAAGCTCTGCCCTGACCCAAAGTCATCCTGTGACATCACAAGAGTGCAGCAGACAGTCAAAGTAGCTCAGCTGATGATATTTGCATAATAAGCAGGGAACTTGCCTCCATGGATTCAATATAAGGCATTTTGAAGGAAAGAGGGGCATGAGAACATAGCAGTGTGTGCATTTGGCTACAATGGTGTGGGCCTACTCTGTTTTCTTCCTGGGATGGCTTTTCTCGGGTGAGTCCAAACCACTGGCTGAAGGTTTTCAAGGGAGGCAGAAGATTCTTGTCTCTTCCATAAAGGTGAACACACTAACCTGGTTCTCTCTTTTTTGGGGGGCTGCAGGTTTGGAGTCCCAGCTGATATTAACTCAACCGCCCTCCATGTCTGCATCTCCAGGATCAACACTTAGGATCCCTTGCACAATGAACAGTGGCTACAGTATCAACAGTGAAAGAGCAAGATGGTACCAGCAGAAACCAGGAGAGGTTCCACGGTTTCTGTACCATTATTATACTAGTGCAGATCAAGGCAGGGGGAATGGAGTCCCAGAGAGATTCAGTGTTTCCCCTGATCCCTCCCAGAACCTCTGGAATCTAGTGATCACTGGAGTTCAAGTGGAAGATGATGCTGATTATTATTGCAGCACATGGGACTACAAACTTACTGGGCACACAGCGATCCATTTTTATGGGGAACTGATACAAAAACCTTTTGCTTGTCACACCAAGTTATGCATCAGCAGATGAAGCTGAGGAACTACAAAGCGATGAACTCAGTTCCCAAAACACATACACATATTATACTACTCCTATTTCTATCACAATTAGGAACCACCATTGCAAAGCATCAGACTTCATTGCCAAAATACGTCACTTCCCTTTCTACAACCGTTCCCGCTAATTATTTACGAAGTCATACCGTCAATGCTTTAGGTGCCTTGAATAATTCCAAAAGTTTCTTTGAAGTGCCTGAAGATGCTGTGGTCAGTTGGGAGTTTTATGCTGAAGCAATAAATTGAGTTGGCGGCTGTCATTCCATCTTCTGGGAGCTGATTCTCTAGCATTGCTAAGTGCTGTGTGAAGAAGCACTTCGGTTGCTTTGTTTTGAAAAGCCCCTTGCTCAGGTTCACTGAATGTCTTCAGGCTTGATGATTCTAAGAAAGGGAGAAAAGCTTTTTCCTACCCACCTTTTCTACCTCCATGCTTCATATTATAAACTTCTCTGGTGTTGCCTTGTACCTATTTTTTCCTATTTGTAAAAGCCCAGTAGTATCACATTTCTTGGTACAGTAGAAGAGTTTCTCCTTCTCTTTCTCCTCCTTTACTTGCCTCCTCTTTCTCATCCCCTTTCCCACTCATTTATCTTTGAAACCTATTTCTCTGTTTACACTATTGGCTTCCTCCTCTCCTCTCCTCTCCTCTCCTCTCCTCTCCTCTCCTCTCCTCTCCTCTCCTCT